ATGGCAATAACAGGACGCCCGGGGCTGACGCAGCCTTGTGGTGGCCGGGGATGGGGGGGTGGGGGGGTGGATGTAGCCCCTTATATGCTGAGTACTTGCTACACTGCCAATGGCAGAACCTACTGGAAGGCTCCCACGACTTCGTCACAAACTGCTAAGCTGCACTGCGTCACAACAGCGTCTGCCCCACCACGGTGACAAAGACATGAGGCACGGAGAGCTGACAAGTGCCCCACACGGCACCAGATCCCCGCTCTGCTGCGGGCTCCAAGCTGCGCCCCACTTAGGTCTTACTTCTGGGTCCCTTCCCCACTGCAGTCTGTGAGGCTGTGTGAGCGGGGCGGCTGAGGCACAGGCCCCTGGTGTCACAGCTCCCGTGTGCGGCCCTGGTGGACCCAAGTGCCCGTCTGGATCTGCGCCTGCAGAGCGGGGGCCGGGGGGGCGGGCTTCCCGCGCGGGGTCCCCTCAGCTTGGGGCCATTTCTTGAGAATTCCTTCCCAAAAGCACAGGCTCCACGGCTTTACAGCCGGGTGTGAGCTGCTTCCTTGCTAGCTGGCGTCAGGGGACCTGCGCCGCCCACCCCCCGCCTTCACTTCAGTTCCTTGTTGTTGCTACTGCTGCTTGTGTTCTCCTCCCAAGATGTTGCCAGATGTCGGGTGTGTGCGGTGGGAGTCGTGGGGAGTGGTCTGCAGCAGAGCAAAGCGGTGCATCTCCTGGGTCCCGATACGGCCGCACTCAGAACGCACCTGTTCTGCACACGTCTGTGTTTTCTGTGAACTGGGTACCTTTCCTTCCCTGCTGACTTTATGCTTGTATTTGTGCATTTAGTGAAAACATTTAAAGACTCTGTGGTAATACAGCCATTTTATGTCTGATGAAGCTCTCTGACGTCTCTAAACAAAGACAGCCTCCTTTCCATTTTCGTATATTTCTGGGTAGCTATGTTCTCTATTTCACTCCAAAAAGGGTTTTAAGATGTTAGGATGGTAGGATTTTATTTTTATTTTACTTTACTATTTATTTATATTAGAAAGAGAGAACATGAGCAGGGGGAGGGAGCAGAGGAAGAGAGTCTTAAACGGGCTCCATGCTGAGCGGGGCTCAATCCCCCAGCCCTGGGATCATGACCTGAGCCAAAATCAAGAGTCAGACACTCCACCAACTGAGCCACCCAGGTGCCCCTACGATTTTATTTTAAAGGGGTTTTCCTCCCATTCAGAATTTTTACCCCCTTAGGGGGGTGGCACCTGTAGAGTATAGTACTTTGAGTAGAAATCTGTAGTCTTTTCTGCAGCATTCAGTCTCTGGGGACTAATTCCTGGTAATAACAGAAAGAAAAGGCAACCACATCCAACTACCAAGCAAGGGAAACCATCAACAAAACGGAAAGGCAGCCCACGGAATGGGAGAAAACATTTGCAAACTGTGTATCTGATAAAGAGGTGCGTATCCAAAATCTAGCAAAAGACAACCTGATTCAAAAATGGGCAAAAGTCATGAGTAGACACTTCTCCAGAGAAGACATCCAGATGGCCGACACCTGAAAAGATGCTCATCGCTCATCATCGGGGAAATGCAAATCAAAACCACTATGAGATACCACCTCACACCTGTCAGAGTGGCTAAAATCAACAACACAAGAAACGATAGGTGTTGGTGAGGACGTGGAGAAGAAATAGGAACCCTCGTGCACCGTTGGTGGGAACACAGACTGGTGCAGCCACTGAAGACACTGAGAACCACCAAATAATACAATTTAAAGGGTGAATCCTGGGGTGGCTCAGTCAGTTGAGTGTCTGACTTGGTTTCAGCTCAAGGCATGATCTCATGGTTGGTGAGTTCAAGCCCCGTGTTGCGCTCTGTGCTGATATTGCAGAGCCTGCTTGGGATGTTCTCTCTACCTCTCTGTCCTTCTTCCCCCGTGTGTGCTCTCTTTCTCTAAAATAAATAAAATGAAAAAAAAAATGTGAACCCTCTGATGTGTGAATTACATCTCAATAAAGCTGTTCTTAAAAACAAGAATTGCAAGGAAACTTTAACTTCACTCAGTGGTTTTATCATTAATACAACTATTGGTATTAACATTTTAAATATGTCAATTTTAAGAGAAAGCATGAAGTTGATGTGCTGTTGTAAGGAAGGAAACAAGATTTTTCATAAAGAGGGAAAAGAGCTAAAACCAGAAAGTCCTATAGTATTGGACTGGATAGTTCACAATGAACTCCAGGGACCAACTACATGCACATGGGTTCATCTCCACCAGCTCTGTCCCCTGAAGAGGCCTGGAAACAATGTCACTCTTGCGGTAGACACACCGAGCATCCAGATCTTGGTTCGAGATTCCATCTTCCTGCAAAGGCAGCGAGCTCCTTGGGGGGAGTGGCAGCACTGTGGCAGGATGCAATGGGAAATGGGGCCAAAAGCCAGGATGCGCGGGGCATTTCCCCCCTGAAGAAGGAGCCTCCTCCCCGCCCCTCCCCCCTGCCCAGGCCAGAGCTGGAATAATTTCAGCACAAAAAGAATGAAGACTGAATTGATAATACACAGAGTGAAAATAAAAGCTTAACTCCTAGTGGTACCAAAAAAAGAACAGACAAGCCCCCGTCTCTGAAAAGGACTGCCAGCCAGGGAGTGTGACGGGGGCAACAGCACAAGATAGCGTGCTTTGCAGGGACCAGGGACACGCACGATGGGGTGAAGCCACCAGAGCATGAGAAAAACACAGACTGGGGGTGGTCCAGGAAGAGGACGCCCCATGCAGACCACCTCGCCGGTTCTCCATGTTCACGAAAGACAAATAAGAACCTCTCTGTAAGAGGGGCGCCTGGGGGGCTTAGTCAGTGAAGCGTCCGACTTCGGCTCAGGTCATGATCTCACAGTCTGTGAGTTTGAGCCCCGTGTCAGGCTCTGTGCTGACAGCTCGGAGCCTGGAGCCTGCTTCTGATTCTGTGTCACCCTCTCTCTCTGCCCCTCCCCTGTTCTCTTTCTCTCAAAATAAATAAACTTTAAAAAAGAAAGAAAAAGGGCACCTGGGTGGCTCAGTCGGTGAAGCATCCGACTTCAGCTCAGATCATGATCTCACAGTCTGTGAGTTCGAGCCCCGTGTCAGGCTCTGTGCTGACAGCTCGAAGCCCGGAGCCTGCTTCGGATTCTGTGTCTCCCTCTCTCTCTGCCCCTCCCCTGCTCATGCTCTGTCTCTCTCGGTCTCAAAAATAAACAAAAACATTTTTTAAAAAATTTAAAAAATACTAAAAAAATAAAGAAAAAAATCTCCACTGGTGGCCATCCGTTACCCGAGCAGTCAAGCCCAGCGTCACCAGCAGGACAGCCTGACGCTGTGGCCCCAGAGGGATGCTGCGTGAAGCCCACAGCACCACGGAGGAAGCTTCCCACCAGAAAGATTGAACCTGAACCGAATCAGGCCTGAGGCCTCGCTTCCAGTTACGAGGAAAGACAGGAAACAACAGATATGCAAAGGACATATGATACAGGACACCACAGACATGCAAAACGTGGGCCATTCACCAAAACTGGCCTCATCCTTTCAAAAAGGTCAACACCACAGGGAGAGGCTGTTGTCTATCAGAAGCCCAAACAACCCAGCCAACCAAACAACAGGAGGATATAATTGCGTGTAAGGAGGGAGGAGCCCCGGTCACCCGCTACGGTGACGTGTGAACGCGGTGCCCAGTGAAACAGCCACAACGGGATGTACGCTGTCTGCGCTGGCGCGAGGTCCACGGAACACCCCCATCGTGGGAACAGAAAGCGGATGCGGAATACCGGGGCCGGGCAGGGAGATGCTCAATGGGGAGGGTGTCGGTTGCGCATGATGAAGCGGCAGAGCTGTCCAGCCCGAGAGCGAGGGCAGTCAGCACGACCGCGCTGTACCCGCAGACCGGTTACGACGGGAACTCGGTGCCGTGCCTTCCCACCACGGAGCATTTCCCCTGAGAAGCCTGGAAAGACACGGCCCGCAAACGCAGCACGCGAAGCTTCACCGGGTCTTGGTTTTAAAAACACCAGGCTCGGGGCGCCTGGGTGGCGCAGTCGGTTAAGCGTCCGGCTTC